CACCTGCTCTCTGTTGCAGGTACCGATCTGGAGGCCTCGCTGCTGAGCTTCGAGAAGCTGGACCGCGCCTCCCCGGACCTGTGGCCCGAGCAGCGTAAGTCCGGCGGGCCCACGGAGGCCGAGCGGGGTCGGGAGGGAGAGGGGGGTTGCAGCCACCAGAGGCGCTGACCGCTGCTGCCCTTCGCTTTCTTTTCCCAGTGCCTGGCGTTGCCGAGTTCGCCGCCTCCTTCAAAAGCGTGAGTGAGCCCGGCTATGCCTTTCGACTGCCCCCGTCCCGTGTGGTGGCTCTGCTGTTCCCTCTGTGGGCTTGACGTCTCTGTTCTAGAAAACGTTTCAGTTGTAGCTTTCGTGTATGCTAGCGTAATCCTTTTGTTATTACCTCCTTTATATATATTTTTAATAATTTATGCAACTTTCCGGTGGATGAGAGTTATACCTTAGAAGAAATGAAAGGTTTTAAACTTAAGGAAATCCAGCTTTTCATACTGACTTTGGCTTCTGGGCGATACTGTGCTATTTTTAACTCTAAAAAGTCCAAAGAAAGCTAAAACAAAAAACAACATAAAAATATCTCTACAGAGCACTTGCATCTCTCATATTTTTTTTTACTGTTGGTGTAACTACTTTTCAACATCAGATTTCTTTGTGTAATTCTAAAAATGCTCTTATCTGAGTATGACTTTTTTTTTATCCCAAAACAGCCTATTACAAATTCTCCTCCCAAGTGGATGGCTGAATTGGAAAATGATGATATTGATATGTTAAAGGGTGAGTATGGACACTGTGGGTAGGAAGTAAGGTTGCCACGGCAGATGGGAATTCAGTACTGACTTGAAAGGCTTAAACCACGGTTTTTTGAAATGCTCTGGAGGTGAAGGAGTGGTGAGTGGTCCTTTTATGTTGTGCAGTAGTTTAGACTTTGTTTTTTATCCTGGATTCCCAAGTGCTTGTGCACTTTGTTTTAAAATTTATTATACTGTTGATTTGTCTCATTTCTGAAGGCAGAAGTCTTCTGTCAGTAAGCACTGTGGCCTCAGATCTCTAGCCCTCACATTTACAGAATCTCCAGGTCAGGAGTCCCTCTCGTTAATTGTATACATTTTTAATCCAGTTATCTCCAAGAGAATATCCAGAATTTGGTGGCAGGCTGATTTTTCAAAACAAGCATGGAAGAACTAGTTGAAGCAGTGTAACATTACATTTATTTCCATTACACTGCTTACCAATCTCTCACTCCATATAGTGGCTGTCTCCTGTAGTTTGAGAAGTAGCATGAATTTTTTGGTGGGCCTCAGCTGATCAAACTTGATGAGCAGCTTAGACTTTTTGATTGATTTGTTCAGAGATGCTCTTTGCATGTGTCTTCACTCATAGGCCCATGATCTCTGATTGAATGAAAAGGCTGTGTGAGCAAGTTAGGGAAGGGCTAGCTTGTATCTAGATCTGCTGCATGTTATAGCTGTTAGTGTGCAGTAACCATCCTTGAGCATGCTCTGCCTCTGGTGTGAATTCCATATACAATGTTACAAAGTAAAAGTGGGTCAAATCAACTTCAACGTGCTGCAAGAAATGTGCTTAAACACAAATTGTTAATGTAGAGTAAGTCCATTCCCTTGCATACTCTTGGAGCTTTGTTCACATAGCAATGTGAACTTACAAGAAGCTCCAAAACGTGGGGCAAATTGCTCATTGCAACGGCGGCAGTTTGCAGTATGAACCAGATTCGTGGCTGTCTCTTTAGTAGAGACAGGTGGTCTTTTCTCAGTATGTTAAAATCAGGGGTGGCATCAGCTTGAATTTTGATTATGCTGTGTTCACTGGAATTAGATCTTGTCAGAAGTATGACTTGGAAGTGCTCTGTGAGGTAGTAAACGATCACTAGAGGACTATAGCCAGTGTTAAAATTCACACTTTTCTCTCTTCTTAGAGTTGGGGAGCCTCACTACAGCTAACCTGATGGAAAAAGTTCGTGGTCTGCAGAACCTGGCTTACCAGCTGGGACTGGATGAATGTAAGTGTTGTATGCAGATGTGACTGCACTGCAAATCTTCCTGCTAAGATGTGTGCTCATGGTACACTTGTAGCTGGAAAAGTGTGTTGGCAGATTTGGCCAATGTCTGACAGTCACAGTTGGTGACCTTGCAAAATGTGAGAGAGAGCTTTCATCTCCAGCTTACAGCCTACCTGCGTGGGGGGAACAGCAGAAGTAACAAGAGGTCATCTGTCAGTCTGGTGGTGTCTAGTGGCACGTAGAGTTCTGTTCCTGACTTAATGCTGACTTAAATCAGGTCGCTTGCTTAATTTCCTACTTGGATGATGAAGCTGTTTCTCAGGACACTTGTGGCAGTACTGTCAGACTTCATGTACTGCCTCCACAGTGAAACTTTCACTTGTGTGTAGGATTCTCCTATGATTTAGTGGTCATTCTGTGTTCTGTTTCTTTAGCTGTTATTTTTTTCTACAGTCAGTTGTGGGAGGTGATGTCACTAAAGCTGACCTTCATCCCCCTTACAAACAGCCAGTTTTTATCAGTTTTTTGAAGAAAGAGCTGCTTTCATCTTTGGGTTTAGGACTGTTAACAGGTTGATCCAGCTTTGAGGATTTCAAGAGGACTTTGTTTCTTTTAAAGCTGCCTCTACATGCTGACACATTCAAATTTTTCTGCTTGATTTTGCTCTAGTGTAGACCTTAGTAGCAGTTGCTTTTGGGCTACACAAAGCACCAAAACTTTTAAACTTACAGGTCTTTCGCCTTCCTTTCCGTGCGTAAGAAAAAGCAGTAATAGACCTTTAGAGTCTTCCTGACTGTAAACCTGAGATACCCTAATGCTTGCATATTAACAGATCATTAAGCCTATTTTAACACTTTCCTCTCAAAGTTATTTTGCATTCAGTGCTGATATCTGTTAAGACTCTATAAAGCATTTGGTAGAGTAGAAGAATGTAAAACTGAGTTAATACAAAGATTGGCTGATGATTTGCTATCTCTGCTAAGCTGTAGGCTTAAATGTCAGACAGCTTTGTCCTGCTGA